ATGGACCTAACTTATCTAACATTCCACTCTGCCCATTAAGTGGGTTTCTGTCAATCACGGACAGCACCCACCAATACCAAGTGTTCCCGTACTCATTAGGAGAAATTACCCTCATGTAAAATCAAGTATAAAGTTCTTTCCCCTCCCTCTGTAATTGTGCATAAAAATTGCTTGCCATTGTGAATCAGGGCTCTGGTCCATGAAGCCTCTATGGGCTTCATGCATGAGCCCAGACTGGAGCCTGAATCAAGACCCTCATGTGTTTGCATCGGAGCTGGCTCTTTGTGGTCTCTATCTCTCTCATTAGAGTCCCGGGTTCAACAATATAAAAACAGGAAGGATATAAACTAATAGTATGATGGTTATCTCTGAGAAGGGAAGGACTTTCAAAACATTTTTAAAAAATATATATGACAAATGTTAACATACTAATTCTGCATGGTAAATACAAAGTTGCCTTTCTATTTATCCTCTGTACTTTCTTTGTATTTTTGAGTCAGAGTCTCACTCCGTCACCCAAGATGGAGTGCAGTGGCATGCTCACAGCCGCCCCTGCGTTGACCTGCTGGGCTCCGGCGTTCCTTCCGCCTCAGCCTTCCAAGGAGCCAGAACTACAGGCACGCGCTACCACACCCGGCTAATTTTTCAATGTATTGTAGAGATGAGGTCTCTCCAAGGTGTCCAGGCTGGTCTTGAACCTGTGGACTCAGGTAATCCCCTCACCTCAACCTCCCAAAATGCTGAAACTACAGGCTTGAGCCACGGCGCCTGGTCTATCCTCTGTACTTTCTAAAAATGTTTAAATCTAAGCCATGGCATAAACAATTTTCTTCTGAAAAATTTTAAAAGATTTTACAACATCCTCACCTGAAAAATAAGGGCCTACCTTCTTACATATCATTAGTTTGGCTTGTCCCTATTTTCTAAAAATTAAAAATTCTAATCTAAGAAATTTAAAATTCTTTCCTCTTCTCACACACTATTTGATTGAGTAACAATGTCAAGTCAACTTCTCAGGAGACCTCATGCTTTTATTAAACTGAAGGGTTCTGCCCTGCAGACCTCCTGAATGAAGTTAAAGATATTCTCAGCAGGGGCCTTCAAATGAACAATTCTATCATTTGCTGTGAGAACAAACAGCCTTGAGAGCCTGACTTCCAGTACTTGGCTCTGACTTCTCTGGGGGAGCTTGACACTTGCCCCAGAGAACTTAGTGAGTTCTTTTCCATTTTCTTTGCTATGTAAAGTATTAAACTTCTATGTATTTTTTTTTTTTTAAAGGTCCTAGGAAGACTTTGGACTTATCGAATGAAACCCGACTTTAAAGAAACTCAGTATCACCAGGACGAGTTTTTTTCATCTTATATCAAACTTGTCTCAGTTAAATTTATTGTAAGTTCAGTCCTGTTTCTTTCTAGGCCTTTGGAAATTTGACAAGCCATCTATAGTGAGATAGAAACAAGATGCCTCCCATTTACAATTATATTTACACACAAAAACAAAAGTTTAATATATTTTTGCCATTATGAAAAAAATGAGAGATACTGTTAATTTTCATAAAAGCTGATAAATATTCTCTCAAAGTAGCAACCTTCTGATTTAAAGAATTACTAGCTTGTTATCTTAAACAAAAAATCATATCCAACTTATATTGATGTTTTTCTATCTGAAGTGTGTCACACAATATTATAATTTATCTCATAAATCTACTAGTGTGATCAAATCCTATCAACTCTGATTGGCATAAATTTGAAACAATGAAGCAATCACATCTGTTAAGCAGTTTTAGCTTCTTAGACAACATTTTAAAAGCTTATTCAATAATATAATTATACTTTTTTTCTCACTAAGACCTCCCTGTACTTGATTTAAGCTTTTCATAAAGGTTTTTGTGTATACTGGGTTCATCATGACCTAATGTAGAAAGTAAGATACAAAATAAAAGTAAGAAAATCAGATGGAGAAAGTGGGGGAGAGGAAGTGACAGAGGTGGTCCAAGTGAGCCACTAATCAAGTACTTGGTCTCAAGATAGGGAACATGAGTTTAAATGAATGAAAAAATATAATATATACATATAAGTTTATCCTGAAACTACTCGTGAAAAAATATGAATGTATAATGTAAATAAAAATACATGTACATAGAACAAAGAATTCAACTATGCTTTATGAAGCAAAATATTAGCATATAACAAAAAAAATCACTGCCTATATATTTTTGGTATAAAATTCTAATTTTTAAAACTTGAATGATTTAATGAAAGTATTATAATAGTAGTTAAGAATCAATAAGTAAAAAAAAAAAAAGAAACCCAAAAAGTAATTCTATGCAATTTTCAGAACATTCCTAATAAGTAAGCAACCTTAAGCATAAAATGACCAGGCTTTACAGATACTGTGTCTGTGGTTAAAAAGAGAGATGAATATTAAAAATGAAATTCAGCACACTGTTAAGTAACTTTATCAAGTTATACATCCTTACAGCCTTTATATATATACTGCCTAAGACATGACTTAATAATATGTCAACATTCTACTAAAGATAGCTAAACTACTATAAAGCCCATCTGAGCCATTCATGGGTCATTAATCACACACAATGTTGAAACATTTCTTATCCACTGAACCTTACACCCGCCATTGTTTGCATGCATCCAGCTTAGGAGAGGGTGCCTTCTCAAAAGTATATCTCTTCAACTTCTTTGCATACCAACAAGCATCTTGTATGTACTCAGTACATATCTGCTAATTTACTTATTTTAACTTCTATGAAACCAGAAATCATGAATAAAATAGTTTAAATTAAACCAATTATATTTCCTACCATTAAAGTTAAAATCAATAAAACTTAACAAAACATTATGATCAAAGGAAAACTTCCAAAAAGAAACCACAGGTAATTACGATGGTGAAATTTCAACTCAAGAGAGTGACAAGCCGGGCTCGGTGGCTCAGCCTGTAATCCCGTGCCTTTGGGAGGCTGAGGTGAGTGGATTGCCTGAGCCCACGGGTTCGAGACCTGCCCGGGCAGCGAGACCTCATCTCTACAATAAATCAAAAAATCAGCTGGGCGTGGTAGCACATTCCTATAATTCTGGCTACTTGGAAGGCTGAGGTGGAAGGATCGCCAGAGCCCAGCAGGTTGAGGCTGCGGTGGCCGGGAGCGGCCACTCCACTCCAGTCTGGACGACAGAGTGAGACTCCACTCAAAAAAAAAAAAAAAAAAGAGTGACAAAGATCTTTTCACAAAATCCTGTGTTTAAGTCAGATGCTTTCTTTTTGTCTATAAATATGACGCGTTTTCACAAAACAAAAAGGTCACATTTTCTTAGGATCTTTTATTTTACTATTTGAAATGAACAGAATGCTATGCTAATAAAATAAGATATTTTCTCCATTCTTTCCCCATTCTTCCCTGGCTTTGTTGCACTCTCCTCACTATATAAAACTATCCACTAGTTATCTTAACTATTTTTTCAATATCTTGCTGCTTAATTCCTAAGTAAATGCATCAAGGAAGATGTTCCTTCATATTGAAACTCTCATGACTATTTTGTAGTTTAGCTTCAATATAAACACATTTATTTGATAACCCCAGGAGAATAACAGTATTAATATTCACTAAAAAAACTCCATTGTTTGTTTAATCTATCAAATACTAATTAAAAGAAGAAATAAATAATTTCAATTGTTCTAACTAAACTGTACTGTTGCTACTGATTATCTACCTACTTTCTGCATTTTGTTTTCATTCAAGAAATACTATGGTTTGCACAGGGACACTGGCAAAAATAAGATGGTTCCTGTTCGTATTACAAGCAGTAGACTAATAACTGCAATGCAGCATTAATGAGTATGCTAACAAGGCATGTTGGAGGTGAGGCAAGAGTACTAAGAATCAGGGCAAACTTGCCAGCGTTGCTTTGTGACAGGAGCAGGCTAGGAAAAGAGGCGAGGAGTCAGCACACAAACACCTGACTAAATGCATGTGCAGCCTCTTCTCCCAAAACCCTACGAAGATGGCAGTTAATAATTTTGTTTTTCAAGCTGGAATCTCACTCCATCACCCAGGCTGGAGTACAGTGGCACATTCACAGTCACCTCAGCCTCGACCTGCTGGGCTCCGGCAATCCTTCCACCTCAGCCTTCCAAGTAGCTAGAACTACAGGCACGCGCTACCATGCCCGGCTAATTTTTGATTTATTGAAGAGACGAGGTCTCACCAAGTTGCCCGAGCTGGTTTCAAACCCACAGGCTAACACAATCCACTCACCTCGGCCTCCCAAAATGCTGGGATTACAAGCTGACCCACCAAGCCCAGCCAGTAATATTTTGTAAAGCAAAGTTACACAAGGACAAAAAAGTAGAAGTAGTGACAAAAGTAGGAACAAGATCACAATTTTTTGGAAAATAAATGAATAAATTATCAAAACAAGTTACTCATAACAGAACATGTCATAATAAGACACTGAGAGAAGCAAGCCATTTTGCCCAGAGTCAGGCAATGACGCAGCCCCATACATCCCACTTCTACCATCCCGCTGGTAAATCTCCAATTAAGAGAACTGAGAGAAGAAGAAAGCAAAAGGCGGGGAGGGGATAATAATTCAGGAGAACATCCTCAAACTTAGGACATCTGCTTTTAGAATTAAAGGATCCTCTGAAGATTCAGCAAAAATAATGACTAAAACCCATTCGAAAACACGTCATCATAAAATTTCAGAGATAAAGACTCTAAAAGCTTCCAGAATAATAAAAAATAGGTCACATATAGTGGAAAAGAAAACAAAATGGCAAAATAAAATAAAATAATACCAAATGTTGGGAAACAAAGTCTTCGATATCTAAAAGAAAATTACTTACAATCTAGAATTCTATACCCAACCAAACCATTAACCAAGTCTGACAGTAAAATAATGTCATTTCAATCTTTCCTGGGATCCATTTCTACATGATAAAAAAGTTATAGGAGCTGGGCTCAGTGGCTCAGCCTGTAACCCTGCGCCTTTGGGAGGCTGAGGTGAGTGGATTGCCTGAGCCCGTGGGTTCGAGACCCACCTCGGCAACTTGGCGAGACCTCATCTCTACAATAAATCAAAAATTAGCTGGGCATGGTAGTGCGTGCCTGTAGTTCCAACTATTTGAAAGGCTGAGGCGGAGGGATCCCTGGACCCCGGCAGGTCGAGGCTGTGGTAGCCAGAGCGGCCACTGCACTCTAGTCTGGGCGACAGAGTGAGACTCCAACTCAAAAAAAAAAAAGCTATAGGGGAAAAAAAAATAACGGTGACTTGGGACCCATAGGTGAGAACAGAGTAAAGCAATCCAGTCTCTGAGGAGATTGCTAAAATGTGAGATGCACTGATTACAAGCTATCCCAGAAACCCTACCACACTGTCAAGGCATATGTACATTAATGTACATTAAGTCTCTAGAAATGTACCTAAAAATATACCTAAAAAATAGAAGCTATACTCTCCCCTAAAATAGAAAACAGAGAATAGGTAAAGAAAAGTAATACAAGAAGTTACAGAGACATTGTACAAAAGATTATTGGCAAAAGTACCAAAATAATACTGAAGGCTAGGCAACATAAAAGTAATTTTAATGTATCATTTTAACAACACATTTATCATTATTGTAAAAAATAAAACTTTAATATTTAGAATGGCAATCAAGAAATTTTTTTAAATAATCCTTGCTAATTAACAAAATTTAATGAGATACACTAGTTTAAAATTAAGTTTGTTGTCAAAAGAAGTCTTAATTGTTCTGCTGCACACTTGCAATGTGTTGTTCATCTTCCAGTAACTGCATTAGTGAATTGAAAACTATTCAACTAGATATCCAGTTAGAAAATGCTATAAATCAATACGTGGAAAGAATGTGTGAAATAAATTATACAATAATGTTGAGACAATCTGTTTTACTTACGCTTCCCCTTCACGTAAAATCTCCCTAAATTATGAGACTCTTCATGTAACATTTTATTAAAACTTGTCAATACTATACGGAAGTATTACTGATATATCTTTGAACGGAGTTTAATCAAGTAGACATTGAAAACTGCATAGTACTTGGGACAATCTGTAGTCTGGGGCTGTTCCCTACACTGTGGAATACCTAGCACCCTGACCTCCATTCATTAAATGCCGACAAACACACTCACAATCATTGTGACAAGTGAAAACACCTCCTACAAATTTCCAAATTTTCCTTATGGGGCAGGTATCACTCTTGTTTGAAAACCATTACCCTAGAAGTCTTACAGCAAGAAAAGGCAAGCTAGAGTATGGAAACAATAAGAACAAAGGAAGAATTTTTATCAGTTATACTTAAGTCATGACTTGCCAGTTTTATCCTATTTAAAATGTTCTTCTTCAGTCTATATTTTTTGGTACTGTATACTAAGGCTGACTTTAAAAAGAGTTGATGTAATTACTCTAGAACATGTCTCTTCTCTTTTGTTCATTTTAAAATAGTTTTCCTATATCGTGACCTTGTTAATACTCCAATTTTATTTAGATAGCCAAATAAAGTCAAATACAGGCTCTAATCAACAGATTGTGTATCTATAGGCATACCATGCGTATATAATTTGTGTGATTTTCCTTTCTGTTTTGTTGTTGCTAGGTTGGTTAGTTTTTACTGTTTCAGTGAACATCAATACTATGTGGACAATACTGAGACACTGTATTCAGTCAGTATAGTATTTGGTATTACTGAAGAGTACTAGCTGTGTCATTATTATGTAATGGCTTAAGAAATCCTCAAAGTATAACAGGGTCCTTTTTTATTTTGCAAACTCTGAATTTAATAAGGTTCAATTTAATTAGTCCAGAATTCAAACATACATTCATGCCAAATTTTGCAACCGCATGGGAAATAGAAAGAAAGAGATTTGAAACAATTCCACGAGAACAACCTTGGTTGTTCTCCCAAAACATCAGTGCCGAAACCCAAATTATTTCACCTGCTATCCACAAAATGGATGAAGTATGCAAGAAATCTTGTGTCTAATGTGACCTCTGGCTGTACTTTTACTTGTCATAATTATAAAGAAGCTCCTCTCAGAGCCAACCTGTAAGCCATATTATTACTCTTGGAACTTTAGTATGTATTTGGGGAAATGCTCAATTCTGTGACATACTTGAAGGAAAAATATAGATGGCTCTTACCTTTGTTACCAGGTATAAAAGACCTCCCTGAACAAAAACGTTCAGATATTATACAAATGAAAGATTAAGATTTATTGGATACAAATTTTTCTAACTTTTTAATGTGCAAATACAAATATGCCACTGTGATAACCTAGTTCAACTTAACAAGTCATGTATGTGTTAAACACAAAAACTAAAAGTTAAACTTTCATAATCTAGGCCAGGCTTGGTGGCTCAACTTGTAATCCCAGCACTTCGGGAGGCTAAGGTGAGTGAACTGCCTGAGCCCAAGGGTTCGAGACCAGCCCAGGCAACTAGGCGAGACCTCATCTCTACAATAAATAAAAAGAAATTAGCTAGGTGTGGGAGCATGCCTCTATAGTTCCGGCTACTTGGAAGGCTGAGGCAGAAGGATCACTGGAGCCCAGCAGGTCAAGGCTAGGGTGGCCGTGAGTGTGCCACTGTACTCCAGCCTGGGCAATGGAGTGAGACTCCAACCCAAAAAAAAAATTTATAGTCTAATTATTACTTTTATAATAATATCTGATTTTCCATGTCAGAGAAATGCACATCAGGAGGGATTTTTTTTTTTTTAACTAGAAACAAAAAAAATGTAAGCTACTCTCATCTAGAGATTTCTGTTTTCCCACACAGAATTTCACCAAGGAAATACAGTTGTTTTAAAAAATGTTTTGGCAAAACTGCCAACTTTATCAACATATGTGACATGTAACATGATTTTAAAGGGGGAAAAAAAGACCTCTGGATCATCTAACACAAAATATATATAGATTCAGAAGGTATAACAAACAGGATTAGCTTTCAGTACAACGTCAAACATACTATCAATTAGAAGATGTACAAGGCACAACAAGCCCAAAAATACTTGCGAAGTTTGATAAGAAGAAAAACTTCAGAACTATACACAAAACTATGACCAAATGTGCCATACTTATCTTTCTACTCCTACTCCCAACAGTCATACCCTTTCATTTTCACTTCAAAACTAGGTTCCAAAGTTGTAAAACATCAGTTACCCTTTACTAAAGTCATAGCCACAAATTGCCTGGGTTGGTTAACAAAAATACGGAAATACTGACACAAAAGAAGTTAGTTTGACCATAAAATAAAATGTCATCAAGACACTGCATGCGAATTAAGAGTCTTATGAAATACAGACCGTACAAGACTACGAGACATCACTCAACAGAAGTTGAGATGCTACCAAAGATCCCCATTAGCCCAAGAAGGCCCCAGTTTACACTTGCCATATTTGCATGTTACACGATACACTTTCACTCTCAAAATTATACTGGATTATGGGCAACCCCTTCAGGGCCCCTCCCACCGTGGGAGCTTTTCTGTCCTCTCAAATTCTGCTTTAAAAAAAAATTATACTGAATTACAAGATAAATTACATGGTCACCCTGGTTACTACAGCATTTCATATCACTAAATCATGTGTTCCTAGGATTGTATGATATGTCAGTAATTATTTATAAGAAAAATCTAACACAAAAATTTGGAGTGATTCACACATGGCACTCACTCCAACATCACCCAAACTCCTGCTGTCTAATTCACCTGTTCTCTGTAGTGCTTTGTGTATTTAGGACCAAGGATGGAGGCTTCCCTCTGTCTCTAGGGTAGCAAATTTGGAAAGAGCCTTTCCTCTTAGCCTCACACTAATTCACAATCTTTCCTTGCTCTTCAAAGCTCCTCAGAATCTTTTAAAGAATTACACCTAACTGTTTAAAACTACAATTGGTTGCTTTCTTGTCCTTTTTATGCACACCTTGAAATTCTTAACTGTGTATTAAAGACTACATTTGGGCTTAAGTTAACAGGGTGTTTATAGTCATTTCTATAAAAGCTTAGGCATCACCATTCTTTTAAGAATATGTCAGTGTCTGACCCTGATAATGATACTATTTTCATTTTTTAAGGAAATCAGATTTTACCTAACAGAGTCCTGAAAACGGCCTTGGGCTTAAAAGTCAAAAGATCTGATCTGAGTATTAGACATCCACCAAGCAAACCACACAATATCCCCAAGGCACGAGTTTTTCTGTATGTAATTTCATTCAATGACACAGGATTACAAGAACAATAAAATTAAAAAATTCAAGACATTCAAGCTCTTGCCTCCTGTTTAAGAAAGATGACTAAATGTAACACAGAATGAAAATACTTAGCAAGCTAAACCAATCAGAGACAAATAACTGCACTCTAAAAAATAACAACCACAACTTTGGTTAAAAACTACAACTTCCCAACCCACACACACAAAACTGTAATGGGCCACAAAGAAAGGCCCTTGAGTCAGACTACATGAGTCCAAATTCCAGCACCACCACTTTCAGCTGCGCAGCAATGAGCA